AGCAACTTGCTGCCTGCAGCAGCAGCACTGAACTGCATTGCCTGGTCATGGCTTTTTCACCTAGAATGCAATAACTATCTGACAGCCAGAGACAAGACCAGGTAATAGAAGTGCCAAAGGACAGGCTCATTTTTTTTGCCTCATCTGAGTGCTTGAGAGCAGCTGTCCTTCATGTCTCGCTGGCTTTGAGCAGAAGGGAATATTTGCAAAGTCACCTTGAGCTTCTGCTGAGCTCCCAAAATTCAGCCATGCACTTTCTGTTACACTGACAATTGATGTGTGCAGCAGAGCAAGGGCTGCGGATCCATTACAGTTTGGTGAGCCCATTTGAACCACAAAGGAAGACATTACTCTAAATCTGAGATGGATTTTGCTGAGTTTATTGTTTTTAGTCTCTGCAATTAGATGTATGTAGATTATCACAAGTGACAGAATAGAGTTATAGCCATGAATCCTAATTTATGTGGAAGTACCCTGAACTTTCGCCTTTATTTCTTAAAAATGTTTATGCTGGCAACCCTGGTTTGCAGTAGAATATTTTTATCATTTGGAGAAGAAATACCCAGGTTGTGAACCTATATGTTGGATCTGAACCACAGCTAGGAACACAGCAGCCCACAGCAACAAGGACTGAGCCTACCTGCCTCGCAGTGACCCTGAATCCCTTTGTGGAGTTGGTATGTGCAATAAGGGCTACATCTGGAACACACAGCATGTGCTCGATTAGAAAAGAACATCTGTACACATGGAGATGTGGCCAGCAAAGCACCTTCATATGCTACTGACTGTGGTATTTTGCATGGCTCTTTGAGCACTCTGTAGAAGCGTTAAAACGTGGCTTGGAGGCTGACTCATACAAAGATAATTAATTATTTGCTACAAAGATCCTTTGTGTTAAGTCAGCAGCATGGTCCTGAGCAGTTTTCGACTGCAGCCATCCGCAAACAGTGCTCTCAATTAATTTCTAGTGATGGTATGAAATCAGCCAGCCTTGCTTATCAGTATCTTTAGCCATTTCTTTGGTTATCCAACCATATAATGACAATAGTCACCACAACTAATAGTACACAAGTATCATTAGTATTATGAGATTATATAATTTGCAGCTCGGAAGCCATCAGCAGTTGGAGATTTTCTTATGTTCATGTTAATTCTTAGCACTTCTTTTCTCAATATGCATATGTTGCAGAATCGCTTTTAATAGCAAGGGAGGTCAAGACACTTGGCAGGTCACCATGATTAGAGGACATTTTGATAATATTTAACTTTTTCTTTCCATCTCAGTTCTGACTTCTTTTTTCTTCTCTCTCTTACTTCAGGATAAATGGGGGCAATCCACGTAATTCACGTTGAGGGGAAGGTCACTGGAACGGATGGTGGAATCTCCTTCTCGGAGCGTATTCGAAATCCAACTGGATGCAATCCTGTGTAACCTGTTCTCAGTGGCCCTGCCTTTACAGGGGGAATGGACCAGATGATCTCCAGAGGCCCCTTCTATCCCCAGCAATTCTGTGATGCTCTGATCCTGTGGTCTGCCATCCAAAGGGCATTGCGTTTAACAGTTGGATTTGTGCTATAGGAACACAAGATTGAAAAGCTTCACTTACTGTACCAATAAAGTAATATTTTATTGCTATGTTAATAACATATTTGCTAAGTTGCTTCCAAGTACAGCTTTGCATTTCCTTGGAAAAATATTTCTTCTCCCTCCCCTGTTTTAAGTAACTAAGTGGTTCTGTATAGAACACAGGCATTAATATGTCTGTAGATGATTGAGCTCACAACACAAATAAATGGCCATGTACACTGATTTAAAAATATACCTCTAGATTTAAGGCTGGCATTATGTTAAGTGGTGAAGGGTCTAAAGCACAAGTCAAGTGAAGAGCAGCTGTAGGAACTGGGGTTGTTCAGTCTGGAGAAAAGGAGGCTCAGCAGAAATTTTATCACTCTCTACAACTACCTGAAAGGAGGATGTAGCAAGATCCATCTCTTCTCCCAGTTACCAAGCTATAGGACAAGAGGAAATGGCCTCAAGTTGTGCCAGGGAAGGTTTAGATTGGATATTAGGAAATATTTCTTCACCAAAAGGGTTATCGGGCACTGGAACAGGCTGCCCAGGGAAGTGGTGGAGTCACCATCCCTGGAGGTATTTAAAAGACATGTAGACGTGGTGCCTGGGGACATGGTTTAGTGGTGGACTTGGCAGTGCTGGGTTAACAGTTGGACTTGATCTTAAAGGGATTTTCCAATCTAATCAATTCTGTAATTCTAAATGAAAGCAACTGTATCGTAAGCTATGCTGTATAACTAAGACTCCATTTAATCGCTTACCTGCACTGTGTGCCTCTTGTGCTCTCCATTCATTATAAGCTACTTGAATTACTGGGGGGGCAAAAAAAAGAAAACAAGGTGGGGTTAGTTGCAGCAAATAAAAAATATATATATAAAAAATCTTTCAAATAACTTCTAAATAACTTTTCTTCAAACAAGGTTGTAGAAAAGATGCACACTATGTGCAGCAGAAATCTATTTGAGCATTGAGCTAGTGCTATCTGAGGAGAAATGCTGTTTACAGATTTAGTATCTCCTGCACCATTTGGAATTGTCTGGAGATCCTTTCAGGCACTGGGTTTGCTCCAGCTCCTGCTCACGTGGTGGGAACCCCTCCACAGTCCTTCCCTGGGGCAGGCTCAGGCTTTTACTGAGTGCTGAAGCAAACCCAGTCTCTCCCTCAGGCTCAAGAGAAATGATTTCTCTGGTGAGTTCCCACAGATTTCTGCCCACTGCAGATTTTGAGAACTGTTTCTGAGGCTGCTCGCCTGCTGGCCTCACCTCTGGCAAGGAAAGGAGAGGCATGCAACAAAAGGCCATTCACATTTTTATGTGAGATATTTTCTCTGCAAGACTCACAGCCCCAGGCCAGAGTCCTGAGGAATAACTAGTATTTTTGAACACTTACAGTTTGCAGAGGTATCAGTATCTGAATCCTCACTGCAAAGAAACAGGGTTGAATGTTAGTACCTTGTAAAACACAAGTCACATCTTGCTAATTATGAGGTAAGAGATATGTATAGGTCTGACTCCCTCTTGTGAGATGAGGGACAGCCTTATAGACTCTGCTCTCCAGACTGAAGCAGAGGAGCACAGGACACACAGTCCTTAAATGAATAACTGCTGGAAAAATTTGCAGGGAACATTTTGTAAGTAAAGAAAAGGATTTACCTGTTCCACCTAATTTGGTTGGCGAGTTCACCTAAGAAAGATCAAGAAGACTGTTTTACAAAGCAGGCAATGCATTCAAGTCTCATGGTTGGGGATAGACTAGGTGGGGATGGGAGTGGATAAATGAAACGGAGCTGGCCTTACACTGGTTAGGAGCGAGCAGACCTCTTCTCTGTTACCCCCAGAAACTCCTGTCCTCTTTGCCCTCCCCTCTCCAACACTCCCAAGATCCCATTGGAATCCTTGTCAGCCCCCCAAGACCACACACATGCCACCATTTAGTGGCCATCAGCCACCCATGGCTTGTTGCTTTCTGCTTGGGGTCAGATCACTCACTCTGCACACTTTGCAGGACTGTCATGAAGTCCCACATCAAGCGTCGACAGCAGTCAGCCCTGGCCTGCTCCAGCTGCACTACCATCACGTCCATCTTGCTGATGCTGAAATTCTCACTTACAATCCTAGGGCACAGTCAGTCATTTCACCAAGGAAAACCATTTAGCATTAAAAGTTAACAAACTCCTTCATTAGGAAGGACTCCACAAAGAGAAGGTTACTTTGGCACATGAAGTATGAGGTAAGCAGCTTGCTGATAAGGTTACGTGAGTTGCAATTGTTATATTTGTAGATTTGGCAATACCTTTTGCTTTCCAAACCTGGATGGGAATTTTCAAATGCTGGAAATGAGCAAGGGGGAGGCATTTTGCTAATACCCTTGTGCCAACAGTGCTTTGACCTGCTGCAGGCAGGCTCTTACTGTTCTAGCACAACCACCGTCGTAATAGGAAGAAAATGCCAAACATATTAAATGGTGTCCAGGTTTCTGGAAAATTACTTTGATCCCACAGGCTAGATTTTGACTTGTGGCACAGCTGTGAGTAATGGACTGTGCTGCTGCCAGCACAGCCCCTAGGTACATGGTGATTCAAAGTTATCCTTACAATCCAAGTTCAAACTCAGCTTTAATTTGTACACGTTATAAAGATGACATCTTCAAATCCAGCTAGATGTTTGAGCTAGCTCTTCAGGCAGCTGGGCACTTCCTTGCTGCAGCAAAATCTCTTGTAGATCTGTAACTTACTGTTGGTGTGGTTTTGCACCATTGAATTACAGCTTGACACCCAGGCATCAGTTAGGAAGTGCTAAGTTAGAAATTAAGTGTATCACTTGCAAGGGAAGTAATAATAAATATGTCTAGCTATTCAGCTTGTCCACAAGCAGAAGCAAAACTCAGTGGGAAATGAGCCAGTTACCTCTGCAGTGAAGGGCTGTTTACTGGGACTTAGGTGCTGGAGTGTTACCAATATACACCCAAGAGTGTTGCTGTAAACTGAACCCTATGGGCTTCACCTGTGATAAAAATGTTCTTCTGGTAATAAAAAACAGTGGTTTTCATCAGAACCCAGCAGCCATGTAGCTGCTAAGAAAACTGAAATGGATCACTTGAACAGCAGGCAGATACCTCTCCATTCGCATTAATTGTGTGGACGTGGTGCCCTCTGGCTCAGCTGGAGCAGGGAGCAGCTTTGCAGCATAAGGTGCCAGGACAGAGGGACACAGGCAGTGGAGTTTGATCCCTGTTGTTAACACCATATTTTTGCAAAGAAGAAAACAACTGTTTTCAGGTGGAACATACCTGTCCTTGGCCTGTTTAAATGCCTGCAAATAGGATTACCAAAAGAAAGGGAAATAGAAATTGTTAGCATGATTTCCAGACAAGGCACCTTGCTGAAAATAGGCATATTCATAAAGAAAAGCAGAATACCACTGCTTACTTTGACAAAGAGGAAAATATCTGGTTGTTCTCTCATCTTCTGCAAAGACTGAAGATGCTGCACAGTGTTAGCTCTTTTCTGTTCCATTTTCTTCTTCACTTCGGTAATGTCTGCCAGTTGTTCTTTCTCACTGGATTGAATGTCGCTCAGGATCTTCTTCTCTTTCTCAGTTATCTGTGTCTTTATCTCTTCAAACAGCTCTTGCAGCTGGGAAGTCACTGTTTTTGTATTGGTCTAAATGAACAGATAGGAAAATGGCGCACTGGCTCAGGAACTTGACATTTCAGCTTAGTGTCTCTCAGTTAATTAGGATTTTATCTATGCTTTGCACTGGCTTTAGGAGGGAGTGGACTATAAGCATTTGCTTGGACTATCTGAATAAACAGAGGGTTATGAAAATTAATCCTGATACGTAATAAAATCAGATAAAATTCAGCTGGCAATGTGACAACTGTATTGGCACACACCAAAAATTCCATTTGTAAACTCAAATTGGTTTTCTTTTATTTAACGGACAGAAAACTTTAGAACTATGTTGGGAGGCTGTGAGAAAGGTTGGCCGTTTCTCATACCACTGTTTTCCCTACTTTGGACTATTTCTCTTTCTATGAATCTGCTTCTAGCAGTATAGCTGCCATCACTTACTGCTGGGAAATTGGGGAGGAAAAATGCTCTGAATTAGTGATGATCTGGGTACCAACCTTGAGCTGATTCTCGCCTTTCTGAAGCTCTTTTAGGGCAGTACCTAAAGCTCTTTTACGTTCCTGCAGCCTTGACATGATGTCTGAGAGTTCACCCTAGCAGAAAGAAAGACATCATTTCTTGATGAAATTTGACTGATGTTTATTGCACCAAAACCCTTTTATAGGGCCTTCTGAAGAGCTGCATTCCTGATTTCTCTGGGAGTTTGTTTGTTAAAAAACCCAAACACAAACTCAATAGGAACACGCAGCTGAGATCTCAGCTTACCCTGAAGTTGACTCAGCCATAGACAGGGCTCCTTTACCTGCTCCAGGGATGAAGGAAATAGCTACTGTCCTACACAGCCCACTTCTGTTTGGCAGCCCTGAACTTGTATGTAACTTGGGGGAGAAAGTTAGTTTGTGACACATGTAAGTAAGTGCAAAGGACGCTTCCTGCTAATCCCTGCAGAGCCTGGGACCTGTCCTGAGGTCCAGAGCGAGCCAGGTGTTTCCTGGCCACACACTGGGTTCCTGCAGGGTGTTTTGCTTGGGATCTATATTGAGCCCTGACATTTCAAACGCGAGGCAGTGAGCAAGTGTAGCAAATGCATTTCACCCCCTCAGTCTTAGCTGACTCTGGAGCATTTCATGGAAGCAGCTGGACTCAAAGGCAAGGACATTGAGGCCCCATGTCTCCACTGGGATGCTGGCTCTGCAAAATTTAGGGTAGAGGGAGAAGGGAGACAGAGGTAAGAGCCATAAGTGGGAAGACCTGTTTCCCAACCCAAACTTGGGAAGTGGGCTCTGTGTAGGAAGAGACTTCTTAATCCCTACAGGAATACGTTTTAATCCTAGCCAGGAACGCCCTGGTGAGTGGCAGTCTGCAGTTGGATGGACCGCGCACCACGGGTGCTCACCAGGGCAGCATGGGACAGCAAAGCCCTGCCTCTTGCTTGCTGTCCCATGTCACCACACACTGCCGGATTTGGTCAGCCCCAAATACCCTTCTCTGCTTTACTCCCTCAGCTGAGCTTGCCAGGCTGCTTTGGCAACACAAAGGAGGAAATGAAAAGCAAATTCCAGCACAATGCATGAATCCCAGCCGCTGCCCGGAGCTGCCTTGTTGCCCTTCCTGTGGCTTCCCCCTTTCCTCCTGCAGGTCAGGAGTTCTGAGCAAACCCCACAGGGACCGTGGGGAGAGCAGATCCCCTTACCAGCTGCTTGTCGTAGGCCTCCTTCAGGGTGATGATGCTGTGGCCCTTGTGGTACCCTGTGATGGAGCAGAGCATGCACACGTACTGCCCCTCGTCCTGGCAGTAGCACTCCAGCAGCCTGCCGTGCTCCTGGCACCTCCTCTCCTCCACGACAGCGCCTGCACCCACCTCCACCAGGACGTGGTCCTTGTTGGAAGCCTTGGTGTTGTGTTTGTTCAGATGGGCCTGGCACAAAGATGCATCGCAGACCAGGCAGGTTTTCACCGCTGGCTTGGGTGGATCCAGGCAGAAGTCACAGGGAACCACTTCCTTCTTCTCCTCTGCAGAGCTCTCGCCCTGTTGCCCTTCGGAAGTAGCCATAAACGCCTCCACGATGCTGCACAGCTGGAAATTCTTCTGCAGCTCCAGGATGGGCCCCAGCTGGAGCTTGCACATGGGGCAGGAGTAAGGGGTCTCGGAGAGCTGCTGGGAATCAAGCACCTTCTCGATGCACTGTTTGCAGAAGCTGTGACCGCAGCTCAGCAGCACCGGGCTCCTGTACAGACACAGGCAGATGGGGCAGCTGAGCTGGTCCTCCATGCTGGCACCCCCTCCAGTCCTCCCTAGCTTTTGCTGCGGCTGCAGTAATGACATGTTAGCTGGTCTGCGAGAAACGAAACTAGGCTGTTGTGCTGGGCATCGTGCGCAGTTGGTGACCCGGCCCAGAGGCTACAAGTCCTTCCCCTTCGCCCTGATCTAATCCCCATTCACGGCTCCACCCCCACACCGCTCTTGTAAGCGGGGGAAGCCGCTGTTAGACCTTCACCCTCGGGCAGCGTCACTCCATGTGCGAGCTCCCAGCAGGCTGGCAGGAGCAGGGGATGGCACAAGATGGGACTGTTCTCCTGCAGCCCTCTGTCCTCCCAGAAGAATCCTCCATCTCATGCCAGGGGCAGTGACTTAAAGGTAAACTCTGGATGAGAAGAGCATGAGTAAGCCAGGGATTCCCTCTACTCTGGCTGGTTCTTCTCCACAACAGTTACAGATGCTCCCCTAAAGGTGAAACAGGGAGAACTCAGGGGACAGTTGTTGATGCTGGTCTCCTACGTGCAGCCAGCTGATCGGGAAATGGGGGTTGGTAAAGGCTCTCAAAAGGCACTGTAAGATAGGAATAGCCCTGTACCATGTCACAAGCCTTGCTTACCTCATTCTGCGCACATACCACCTGAGACCCAGCAGAGCAGCCGCCACTGCAGGTGCATTTGGGAGACCCAAGTTTACCTGCATGGTTTTCCATATCATTTTGGTGTATAAAATGCAAAAGACAAAGCACAGCCACTTTCTTCTAAGACTGAACAAGGATTTCTTTTGTCATGTGCGAAACTGTAGTGTCCCTTGAGGTCCTTCACTGTCTCTGCTGGGGTGAGGAGCTGCTGCCTGGTCCTCTTAATGCAAATACCCTGGCTTGTTCTGAAGGCAGCAGAACCGCAGGGAACAAGCAGAAATATCATCTCTTCCTCCCCAAGGTGTTCAGACAACCATAAGAACAAACTAATCCAGGCCCCATATAGCACAGAATAAAGGCACAGAAGTTTTCTTCTTTATTATTCCCTTTGCTGTGAGGTTTTTGTACAGGTGAAGAGAAAAATCAAAATTCATGCAAAGAAGTAGGTAAATGATCTATCAGAGATCTCACTGGGGACAGCAGCAGCAAACAAAAGGGAAACCAGATGTCTTACTATCTAGACTCTACTCGTCCCCCAGCCCAGCTTCGCTCCTGCAACGGATGGCTTTGATTGTGCATTAAAGGTCAGTATTGCTGCTGCTTAGTTCTGTAGCAGTGAATGTTGTACCATCAACTTTTTTATAAACTCAGCTGCTATTAAGTTTTGCAAACTAAGTGTAATAACATGCAGCCAACACAGAATTTGATACAGTTGAGCAAAAAAGCACAACTTAACAGTGTTTCCTCATGATTAACAGAAGATAGGAGCTCTTGCACGCAGCCACGTGCTGTGATACACCCCACAGAGGCCTTTCCCTCACGGAGATGAGCCACCACAGCAGCCCCAATTCCAGTTTCTAATATGGCAGCTTAGCATAGCCTCCACGCAGCAGCAGTCCTGATAAATAGCCTGGAAGCACAAAACAGCACTTTGTCCCCACATCACTACACGAGCTTCAGAGAGCCTTCAGACATCTTGAAGATAGCATGGACAGGGTAGCTGAAAGGGATGCTTACTGCCTCTATAAGATGGAGACTGTCAGTAGGATTTCCATCCTCAGCAGACACGTTATAAAATGACAGCCTATTTCTTCCACAGTCTATCTCTACCCTGATGACTTCAAGGGCTGTAGGAAAGTACTTTCCTGTGATACATGTTTTACCTAGGAACAGAGAGAGGTGGTGAGAAGACGCTTCCAGATAGCACTGAAACCGGGAACAAGCAATTCCAAGCATCCAGCATTTCATGTTTCTGGTGTTCACATCCCAGAAGTGACAGCCTTCTGAGAAGCTCTCTTTGCTCTTTAGTTGGAGGGGAATGGCTGTTAACCCATGGACATTGTGAAATCCGAATGTGGGCTGTAGGGGCGCATGGAGTGCTTTGTCACTGTAAGCAGGTTCACCTCCTGCACTGTCTGGAGTCGTCAGATGTTCATGAACTGTAGAAAGAAAGAAAAACCAACACAGAGATAACACACATCCCAGTTGCTGAAGGCTGGATTTCCCAATCCAAGCCATCCAAGTCGACACAAGTCATCCTATTCAAGTCATTCAAGTCCAACCCACCCAAGTCACTAAAAGCATGTTAACTGGAACAGCTCCTGCACCTCTCTTAGCTGCTCCTACGTAATTCTGAAAGGGGGTAATACCACATTTCAAGAAATGCTGCTCTTTCACAATTTAAAGTGTCATTTTGCCTTTTGTTTCCAACTACAGCAACTCTCAGATTTTCATTTTCCGTCAATGCCCTGCAGAGCTTCATTAGGCGTTTCTAAAAACTTCCAGATTAACTTCCATATACGAGAAACATGCGAACAGCGGCACAGCCGTTTCATACACGCTTATTTGCTTAAGATCATTTGAAGTTATTTTCTAGAACTCTCAAAATTTCCCAGCGTGGCCAGTCGCGAGTAGTTAATTCTACACTCGGGAATTTGCAGAACGTGTTCATTCAGACCTTCTCTTGCACGTAATGCATTTCAATACTGTGACATTTTCTGCTGCAGAAGTTAGTCCTTCAGGAAACAAACAGTAGCGGTGACTTGGACAACTAACCAAAACTGCTCAGATGGCATGGATAATTAGGAAAACCTGGATCTGAGGCTTTCTAGCTAGAATAGGTCTCAACTGTGTTTACACGGATGGTAAAGACCGAGCCTGGGAGTGGCCATGGGCATGGTGTGCTGCCTGGTGCACCCAAGGCTGTACAGATGGCAGCCAATTAGGTGTGCACATCACACATCCTCTGGGCAGAGCATTCCCACCCCAGCTATCTCTGGGTCTTGACCTTAGGCTCACTGTCAAGCAGGGCTCAAGCACTCCCAATACAGCAATAACATGGGAACCCTATTTTTGTCTGATTAAATTGGACAGGCATCCCACTGTGCACAGCACTGGGACTGTAGGTTGGTCTTACAAGACATTACAAAGAGTAGATTTACTACAAAGAGTATATTATTTATATTATAAGACAAACTCCACCTGCCGTTGCTGTGATGATTTCTCAACTTCCCCCATGCTTTGGAATCAAAGTGATGCTACAGACAGAAAAGCTATTCCTATTCTCTTCTCTAAATCCTCTCATAAACCTCCTAGGACATCCATACCTCTTTACCGAGAACCCATTTTAGCACGGTATGTTCAAGGCATGTCCCAAAGCACTGAAGCTTGGGACAAGCATCCTTTAATGTACACATATGTGAAAATAATTATACAATCATATCACGGGAGACTATAGAATAGTCTGAATTGGAAGGGACCTTAAAGATCATCTAGTAAGTGTGAGCAATCAGTTCTTCTAGAGGTATTTCTGAGTACTTGGTGTCTTACTACAGTCTTTTCTTGAATATGCTCTGTTAGCTTCTCCATGTTGCTTGTCACAGAGTGAAATGACCACTTACCAGGCGGTGATTTAAATAAGGACTGCATGTCTGAGAGGAATTGCTGGAAAAGCCTTACAGTAGCATCTGTTGTTAATTTATCCAAAATAATGGGTGGCCTTGGTTTTAAATCAGCTTTGTTAGGAACTGGCTTGCGTTCCCTAAAACATGCAGAATGACATCAGAAGAGCAGAAAGGCATCAGAAAACCATCACCAAGCCCATCCCTGAGCCAACAACTGCATCCCCCACTCCACACCAAGCCTTGATGGGACATACAGAAAGCAGTTTCCACCCTCCCCTCTCTCTGTAGCTTTACCAGGGACTCCCCCTGTGAGTGGTCTTCTCCCAGAACCCCAAATCTCTTCAGCATCATCAGGTTGAAGTATGGACAGTATCTGTCCACAGAGGACCTTGTCTCAGCCACCTCAGCCCGGCTTTGCCAGGACAGACCCTAGCATCATGTTCGTGGTTGCAGTCCTTGGTCCTCGCAGCAGGAGCTAATGAGGTGTCAGGGGCAGCCACTGGGATGCTGGAACAGCAGATGAGAAGTGCTGCGTTACCACAGCCCTGGGTGAGCTGCTGCACCCAAAATGCAGGGCTGGGGGAGCCTGTGTGCATGCAGTGGTGGTCTGCGGAGGAGGAACAGGACAGGCACTGGGAGAACAGCTCAGGAGAAAAGCCATGAACTCTATAGACTCTTGACTGCAACTGCATGTTTGGCTCCTAATGCATTCACTTCTTATGAGCAGAAGGCAATGCAAACTGGAGGATGACTTTGGATACCTAAGCTCATCATACAGGGGCCTAAACATTCAGGAATTGCCCTCAGTATGGGTCTTGAGAATAGGTGCAGAGGGCACAGAAAAATAAACTGTATTATCTATGAAGAGTCACATAGGACCTCTGCGGCTTCTCCTGGCTCAGTGTTGCCACCAGCATGACAAAGGGTGAGCCCAGGGAGCCCAGTGCATGCAGACTGGGCTATCAGTCACCTGAAGCAATGTGTTAATGCAATAATAGACCACCTTGGGAAGAGCTTACCTGGCTTGAATTGCTGAAAAAGCCTGTAAAAGACATTTTGAAAGCAGAATTAGTGTAGCACAGGCAAAGGCTAGTCCAAAAAGCTGAGTATCTCTGGGAAGGGAGATGCTGTTAGGTACCTTGATGAAAAGAAGTAGATCTTTCTGATGTCTCAGAGCCTCCAGCTCCTGAACATCACGGCTGGCTGCATCCTTCCCCTCTTTGTGGTTTTGTATCTCCATCTGAATCTGAGAAAGCTGTTGCTCCTCGTAGTGGCTGAGAGTTTTCAGGACCTCTTCTTTTACGTTGTCTAGCTGCAGACGCATGTCTTCGAAAATGCTCTCCAGCCGATTCCTCCGCAGGCTCTCCTCATTCTGTTAAGAAAACACTTTCAAAGCTGTTAGGGACCAAATCTTAAATTTTAAACCCAGTAACTCTCACTCAGAAAAGAGCCTGGTATTTTCCAGGCTCAGAGAAGTAACTACTAACTTAGTGCCTGTCCACATACAACAAACCAAGATGTCCCATTGAAAGCAGAAGGACCAAGTGACACAAGTGCCCTGCCCCAGCATCTGGCACCTGACCAGAAAAAGATGAAAAAGTAGCGCTGCTTGCATACTTTCCATTGTATCTCCATATTCTGCACTAGTTGTCTTTGGTCCTTTCAAGGATGGGTGAGGAAGTACAAGTACCAAGTACCAAGTGCCAAGTACAGTTCTATCTTCAGACCTTTGCCCAGTGCCAGGGCTTTGAGTCCTATCACTTTTAGTGGTGGAGGAAGACAAGTGCCAATTCTGCCTAAGCAGAATGAAGTAGGATTTGGAGACCTGTGTTAAATTCCCTGCTCTTTCAGAGCTTTTAGATAGGTATTGGCATGCTGGGAGCAAAACCCAGGCACTTTGGGGCAATCTTTTAACATCATTCCGACCAACATCTTAGAACCACAGGCTATCCTAAAGGGATTTCTTGTTTTAAAGAGAAATAAAACCACAATAACATGGTCTGTGTCTTTTCCATAAGTATTTTAGAGACTGCAGATTGGATAAAGTTGCATTAACAAAAGCTAACCACCACCTGCCGATGAGGAGGCATGGGATTAACAGCAATTTTCAAGCTCAAAGGCCCTTTGGGAACTAAGAATGTACTTCCCAGTAAAGGGAAGTAAGAAAGACATTCATCATCCTCCCTAACAAACGAAACCTAGAAAATAAGTGAGAAACCACCAGGAACTAAAACCACTTTGGAATGCATGATCTGGGGAAGGGCAAAAGAAAACTTTATCTTATCAGCTACCAGCACACAACCATCCCCAAAGTGATGGTTAGACCTTGGAACAAACCTTTACTTCCTCCTCTTGTTTCAGCAGGTTTTCTATGCTTTGATTCAGCGCAGCTTTGTGTGTTTTCACTGCTTCCAGAGTTTCAGGAAAACAACCCTGTAAAAATAACCAGAGGGAGGTATCAGGATAGAATGGACACATGTGCATGAATGATCAGCAACTTCACGGACATGAGTTAAGCTAGACCTGCAAAACGTTTGCTCACTGCCTGCTCTCAGGATAAATCAGTCATAGAGGTTTACTGGAGGATTGTATTCCTGGACAAATATGGCAATTAAAAGCACAGGAAAGACATTTTGAAACTGAAAATACCTTTCGCTTGGAACTGCACCCAGGACTAAAAGCACAGTCACACGCACTCAGTCCCACCAGTTTGGCTCCTCAGGGTGGGAAAGAAAGTTTTTATAACATCTCGTTTTATATCCTTGAATCCCCAGAGGGAATCTAGGGCAAAACTGGGAATAAAAGCCCAATATCCCAAGCTGGAGATTTAGCCCCAACCTGAGTCTACAGATCTGAAACTCAAGAAGCATTTCATCTCTGTGCTCTGGGCAGCTGCCTTTGTCCCAGGTCCCCATGGTTTTCCTAGTGCAATCTGTGCCCTAAGGGCTGTCCTGGCAGTCCCTTACCTGTGCTTGGCCAAAAGCCTCCTCCAGAGTGATGATCTTGTGGTCCCTGTGGCAGCTGACGATGCAGCACAGCATGCAGATGCAGACCGAGTCCGTCACGCAGTAGCACTCCAGCAGCCTGCTGTGCTGGGGGCATCTCCTCTCAGCCAAAACCTGAGCTTCACAAGGCTCCATCAGGATATGGTCTTTCAGAGGGCTCTTTGTGCTGTGCTTGCTCAGGTGAGCTTGGCACAGGGAGGCCTCGCAATTCATGCAGGTCTTCACAGCTGGCTGGGGCTCCTGAAGGCAGAAATCGCAGAGGATCACCCCATCTTGCTGTCCCAAGCTTTCGTCCTTCTCTTTGCATTGCATTTCAGGCCTTTCCTCCTCTGGGTCCGCTTGGGCATGGCACAGTGGGCAGTGGTAGGGGCTCTGCGGGCGCTGCTGGTGGCTGCACCCCCCCTGGATGCAGTCCCTGCAGAAGTTGTGACCACAGCTCAGTGTCACTAGTTCAAGGTAAGTGTCCAGGCAGATGGCACAGGTCAGCTCCATCTGCAGCCTGGTTGCAGCACCACCATGCAGCCCAAGGTGTGGTGGAGTGCCAGACGTCACTGATAGGAAATGAAACAGAAACCAGTAGTGGAGGCACCTCTGGCTGCAGGCAGGGGAGCTGCTGCCTCCTTCCCTTCACAAGGGTTCAGCTACAGCAGTCATTTTTTCTCC